TTTAACATAACTTGGCGACTTCCGTGTGGACGGTTGTTTTGTTTTTTATTTTCCTGTGTCTGATTTCCTTATGTTACAGGATTGAAGCATTGAGAACAAGAGAAACAGAAGGAAGGAGAATGTTCTGGACATGATGATTGGGTAATCAGAATCCAGGTCCACGTATACCACCCGTTTTCTCTCTCAGCTGTGTCTGGGCAGAAGCTTTGATCTCTCCTGTGCCCTCCAGGGTGTTGTGGTTGCAGCCTTCTCTCTCTGTGCTCTGCCACTTTCTCCATGGTACCCTTCCACTCCAAGGGTGAAAATCAACTCTGTTAATATTAGTGTGGTCTGGGAACAAGAGAGAATTCACAGCCAAGTTAAGGTCAGAGAAGGAGTAGAATCCTTCAAAGGTGAAATGTCTGGATGCCAGAAGCAAAACCTTACCACAATTTCAATTCCAAGAATACTTACTAAACATTTATTTATGTGTAAGTCAATGATGCTAGGTGGAAACAAAGAAAATAACATTGAAAGTGTTCTAAGAGTCTTGAATTGGAAATCTATCTTAATTTAGTCTTCACAATACTGGATGTAGATAACATTAACCTCATTTTTACAAATACATAATCTGAGATTCAAAGATATAAAGCTAATAAATGGCTTGGCTAGAGATTGAGTCATGGCTACCTGATACTAAAGCTTATATTATTGCCGCTAGGTGAATCTGCTCATTGATCATGACATTATACTTTACAGATCCCTTTTGAAACAAAGGAGACTGCTTGAAGAATATAGAAACGGGCAGTTATATACTCTGCTGACACAAGGTCCTGCTTTTTATCTGTACTTGTTCAAGATTGCCAGTATTTTCTATGCTAGGACTGTAGGCAAGGTGTGCTCTAAATATATGCATTATCTCTTTTAATCCTATAATAAGTTTATGAGACCAGTACCATTATTCTTTTATTTTACAGATTAGAAAAATAGCAGTAAATAATTTTTCATAGTCATATTGCTAGTGAGGGACTGTCTGATTCCGGAACCTGTGACTTTAATCATTGTGCTATGCCTCCTCTTGTGGGTAGATCCCTAGATGATAGGTGATACCCTTAATTCACACTTTGAAAAAAATGGGTGCCTGTAAGAATGAGGTGACCAAACATGGCAAGTGCACATGTATAGAAGACAAAAGTGACCCACCATCATAATTTGTGCAACTAAGAGTAGTTTTTGTCCTCTAATTTGATTGTTTTTAACCACTAATATTTTTAGATTGTCAGAGCTGGACATGACCTGAGAAATCACATAGTCTCTATTATCATTTTATAGATGAAAAAATTGATATCCAGAAAAGGGAATTGATTTGCCCAAGGCCATCCAGCTCTAGAGTAGGGGAATGCAACATATTTTGCTTAAGCTTGATACCAAAACTCTTCCTATTACAGGGTACCACTTCTGTATTCTTTGTTTTAATATTTAAACATGCTTCCCCCAACCTTCCTTGTAGTATTTTCTCTAGCCTTCTCTTTATTCTGGTCTTTTTCGATAGGTCCAGTTCCAAATACTATCCATTCTCTTTCCCCCAGCTGTCCCACTATAGAAACAAACTTCCATAGCTATGTGCTCACCAAATCTAACAACCAGCTGGTCCTCTTTGACCTCTGCACCATGTGACACCCTTCTCTGTTAGCCACCCTTACCTTTCAAGGCACCTGTCTATCCTGCATTCCTTTTTCTGCTACTTCTT